CTAGAAGTTTCTTTCAGTGCCAGTCTCTCTCCGCCTTTAGTTAATTCACCTTTTCTTGACATTGGACACCCCGCGTGTTTACCAGTCTGTCTCCCCATTTGCGCGTTTGCTTTGGTGGGGCTCCTCCGGATTTGTGGGTAGCCACAGCGGCCAGGAATGCAGAAGACCCTCAGTGATCAGGAAGGAAGAAGGGATGGGCTTATAGAAATGGTCCAAGAGCAAGGGGTGTGGGTGGAATGGCTGTTCCCTTCGCACACAAGTGTGCACTCGCTATGTCAGCATTCCTACGCATAAAGGAGTCCAGCACCTCACTGCTCCCGAAAATGCCTAGGGATGACTGGGAACAGCCAATGAACCTCCAAAATTGAACTTAAGGAGAAGGGGTGGTGAGAATTTAAAATGGTTGCATGTGGCAGTAACTTGTCAGTGGAGGAGATGGGAGGAGAGGAGGGAGAGGATGAACAAGTGTTTATCCTGCATTCACTCTGTGCTGTCAGGGCCAACAAAGTGTGTAAGGACCTGCCTCTTCATTGCAGAATTAGTCTTGCTAAATCCTAAAATTCACAGGGAATTTTAAATCCTAGAATAGATAGGGGGAAAATATAAATACATATTGTATGTTATTATATATGATATACACACATATAATACAAGTACAATAGGCACATGACTAGCTTTTATTGTTGTTAATCCTTGCCCCAGGACATTTCCTCCCTTTATTTTTTAGAGAGAGTGGAAGGGAGGGAGAGGGAGAGAGAGAGAGAGAAACATCAATGAGAAAGAGACACATTGATGGGTTGCCTCCTGCACATGCCCCAACTGGAGCTGGGGATGAACCCAGAACCCTGGTACTGCAAACCGGGTACATGCCCTTGACCGGAATCGAACCCATGACCCTTTGGTGCACAGGGTGCTGCTCTAACCACTGAGAATGCCAGCCAGGGCCTGGCTGTATTTTTTAAAGAGCCATACAGAAAGTTATAAAGTTGAAAAATGAGGTTCTTTCTCTACTTCCTCCATTCTTCCTCACTTGGGGTGATCATTGTTAATTTACTGTGAATCTTCCCTGGAAAGGTTTTAATAATTTTCATCAAATCTAAACTATTACTGATTTTATATAATTACATAAATTTCATATTTTTAATTTTAAGCTTTTAATTTTAAAGCTTTTAGTGCATTTTACCAAATCTAAACTGATACTGATCTATGAAAGTACATAAATTTTATGCAATTACATTAATGCAAATTTCATATACATAATCACATAAAGGAAAAACTGTGGAGAAAGAAAAAAATATTGCCAATTAAACCTTTTAAAAATGTATCTTAGGGCCCTGCCTGTCAGCTCAATTAGTTAGAGCATTTCCCGATATACCAAGATTGCAGGTTCCATCACCAGTCAGGGCACATAAAGAATCAACCAATGAATGTATGAGTAAGTGGAAAATCAAATTGATGTTTCTCCCCCTCTCTCATCCTCCCTCTCTTCCCTTCCTCTCTTTCTCTAAAATCAATTTTTTTAAAAAGTGCTTCTTAGAATAGATGAAATACCATACATGTGCATAAATACACTTTAAAAACTTTATACAATTATTATTGTTACTAGAGGCCTGGTGCACAAAAATTTGTGCACTCGGGGGGGGAGGGGG